TAGAAACAATGTCTGGAGACAATTTAGAGACCGTTAGAGACAATTCAAAGTCCATTCACAATGCATTCACAATGGCTGGACAGTCCATTCACAACCTGTGCTGGTTGTTGATACAGCATTTGACCATCACCAGTCTCCTGTATTGGAGTCCTACCATCACTCCCAAGGTCATACACCATAACAGGATTTTCAACAGCCAGGAATGACTCTGCGACCATCATTTGACCATCATTCTCTTGAAATGGTGGACCATCATGAATTTCACTCCAAGGGTCATACACCACAACATGATTTTCACCAGCCACGGATGACTCTGTGACCATCATTTGACCATCATCATTCTCTTGTAATGGTGGACCATCGTGCATTTCATTCCCTGAGTCATGCGCTGTAACAGGATTTTCACCGAGTGCTAATTCTGCGACTATCATTTGACCATCATCATTCTCTTGTAATGGTGGACCATCATGTATTTCACTCCCAGAGTCATAGAACCCAACATGAATTTCACCAACCAGGGATGACTCTGCGACCATCATTTCACCATCATCATTCTCTTGTAATGCTGGACCATCATGTCTTTCACTCTCGGAGTCGTGCACTGTAAGAGGATTTTCACTACGCAGCGCTGGCTTTGCGACCATCATTTCATACCTGGGCGTAGGGCTTTTACCTCCTTTATCCATGTCTTTGTGATCTGGGAACGCAAAAATAAAATCATTTCAAATCTGTACGTCAAACATGAACAGTTCTAATCAGGAATTTTGGCTGATTTAACCAGCACTCTCCCAGGCTGAGCGAAGAAAACTTTGAAATCTTTTTATACTTTTGGTCGAAATTTTCTCTTCCAACAGATGGGGCAAATTTCACTTTCAGTTGGGGGATTAGTGGTATCAGTTATCCAGTTACCATCACAGAATATTTTGATCTTGTTACTTAGTACATGGTAGCCAATGTAGTTAATAACTATAGGTCATAATATACCCCTAAACGTGATGAATGAAATGCAGTTATCTTTGAGTAAAACAATGAGAGCCTTGCTTATAGATGTTGGAAAATATCATATGATTAATCACTGATCATGCTTGTAAGTTGTATGAATAACTGTTTAAATAATGTAATTGATAGAGGTGTTCTATTAATCAGATAAATTGAACAATTCTTTAGGAAATTTTCACTGTACTTTGTACTTTTGTGTTTGGTATTAATTCTATACAATGCTCAACGAACGGTAACAAAATGTATTTGAAACCTTGGAACAATTTTTTTTATTCCAACTTATATTTTTGAACAATAATTACGTTGTGCAGTGGAAATCCCCCCTTTTAACGAAACTAGGGATTTGAAAACTACCGTATGCCAGCCTATATGTCAACACACGGTTGTATGAGAAATGTAAATTATATCTTTCAGTATATTTCGCATTGTAGACTAAAATATATCTGTTTTTAAGGACATATGAATGTATATATATGCCCAATTTGTCAAAAGCTATAACTGTATACTGAATTGTTTAGTTTTAGTTTACAAAATTAAACGAAAAACTTAATACTTACCCAATCGTCCGAAAATTTGATTCGCTCTGCGTATATAATACCCAGCTGTGCACGCACTATATAGCCTACTTTATATATACTTTCGGTTTAAGATGTTCAATGCGCGCCTGTTCCGCTGACACCTTTGGGTCAATTGTGCATCAATTGTTTTTATACTTAGTTATCCTTTTTGATCCCCGACATAAATATTTAGTTTAGGTCTGACATAATTTACATAAATTTTTACTTACATTCTTGCGTCAAACAAAAACATGTATAATCGTTTTTTTCCCCATTCTGTTATTAAGTGTATCCCTGTAAAGGTTTATACCTTTCTCACACATCACTACAATATGTAAACGTTTCGAACAAGTTATTTCATCTTAACTTGGTAGTAATTCCTGGTACTAATATACATATAAATGTATATATATACCGACGACATCGTAATACGTCTTGCTTTCAGTACCCATTTGTTGGCATACTCGTATATACCATCATTTCTGTTATGAAAGTATAGATTTTGAGGCCTCCGTGGAATACCCTTTATGTTTTCCATGTCAAGCTAATAACCTCGCAGTACCCACGCATTCCATCACAAACAGAAATGTCTTGTCGTTCATTTATCGTTGTTAGATTCCTGATCTTTCTGGCTTTTCGTTCTTGCGCATACTTATATATAGTTATAAACATTTGATCCATTATAAGCATTTTGTGGTGTTGGCTTTTCTATGTTTTTCCCACGATCGAACAGTTGGCATTTAAAGCCCAACATTGTGTATGAAACATTTATATGTGTCTTGTCTTTTCTATTTTATTCTAATTATCTTATTATAATACATGCAGCTAATTCAGAGTTCCCGTTGAGCTTTTGAAAAAGATTTGTGTCGCCCACAAACTATATGAACAGGTTATGTGATTGGTTGGTTATTACAATGAAACACAATAAATGAACGAGTCACTGTTTTAGCAAGCCAATCACAGGGCATGATTATTTCAGCCTTCACATTTACCAAACGACTTGATGTGACGTCATGTTTCATATGAGAAAATATTCTATCACTGCGACAGAATTATCTATTTATACAGAGATGGACATGGATTAATCGCTGATATCTGGAAAGATTATATTGCTGTTATCTTTTAAAGTTGTAACTTTATATGTTGCGATAACAGTAGTCCAGTCAAATCACTATAAGTACATGGTCCTGATCAAAGTAATCGCAATAGATTTGTTTTCAGTGGTAAAGTGTGAGAAAAGTTGTTCTGATTAACATATTAAAAATCCCCAAAAATCCCTTCGGTGGAACATGGTAAAAATCAAGTTTTTCTTACTTCTGCCAACAGAATAAATACCATTGCGGACAAAATGTTGAAATTTTGAAATTATTTTTAGGCAAATGTAACCTGCATCATTGGCGAGCTTAGAAAAAACTAAATATAGATCAGTTGAACGGTTACTTTGCTTTTGCCTATCCAGCCGAAGTTATACAAGATTTAAAATGCCATCAATTTGTATTTTGTGCAAATTTTGCGCTATTTTTCCAACTTCGAGCTAGAATAACGACAAACTGGCTAGTAAATTGAATATTATATCTTATTGGATTCTTCTGAGCCCAATATGGCAAAATATTAAGTCGAGACTTCAATATTGGGCGAGACCGAAGGTCGAGCCTAATATTGAAGTCGAGACTTAATATTTTGCCATATTGGGCGAAGATGAATCCAATAGGAGTTTTATTATATCGAACAAAACAATTCTATAACAAAAATTGTCAATAAGCGATAAAGTAAATACAGCGAGACTAATACAGCGACAACATTACTACATATATCGGCGGCGAATTTGCTTAAATAACTAAAAAAAAAGTTAATAAACCTGTTTTTACAAATATGTGTGCATAAATAAACTCAATTCCATGTATGTTGAAAGGAAATTTGACCTAATTTTAACGAAAAAAATAATATTACGAACTTCTAGGCTGTTGCAAACAAATAAATTTCGCGAAGACAAGTTTTCCCGCGCTTTTATAATTTTAAACAAAACTGGTGGAAAAAACTGTATTAATGTCCCAAATTCTTTTCATTATTCTGCCATATCGTTTGTCGTATGTTTGAAATTGACAAAACATCTGAAAAGGGTTGAAAAACCATGAAAAAAGCCACAATTCGCAAGTGTCCAATAGGTTCCTGTCCAATATCGTAAAATATTGGATCGGCACGTGACCCTCTCAACGATTACTGATTGGTTAAGTGCGCGTGAGTGTATAATAAAACGGTTTAATTGACCTTTATATAGTTTTTTTTAAGCTTTCCAATAATGTAGGTTACATTTGCCTAAAAATGATTTCACCTCTTACCTAAGTGATTTAAAATGAAAAGGCTTACCAGCTCACGTAGTAAGTAAGACAATTTTGAAATTGCTCTCAATTCCACAATTCTGTTCATGAAATGTAATTTTTGCTATATATGGATTGCTAGTGAGTTCTTAAATTATGGAAAATATAAAAAAAATTGAAAATAGTATAGAATATCCAGATGTATGATGCCCTTCACGTGCGAATACGTGAAGGGCATCGTACATCTGGATATTCGTTCGTGAAACTTTGGCGAACCAAGTTTATGTTGTTGCTACGGAGGAAATCTGATACCATAAAAGCTCTCTGCTGCGGGGTAAATTGTGGCATCGCCATTTCAAAGTGTACGGGGTATTATACGAGAGAATGCGTTTCAGCACAAACAACTCAAAAGCACAAATTCCATGGAAATTCCACGGAACTCTCATGGGAGTAAAAATGAATTCATAATGAAGCAAGAACAGCACCAACAGAGAAAAATGTAACGTTTTCATAGGCTTTTCGGAGAATTTGTACTCGGTAAAATCCTGCCGAAATTTTATCATAAATACAACAAATAGCGAACTTTTCATACATGAACTCAAATAAAGAATACCGTTTGTCATTTCCGTGCGCAAGCCACTTTTAGGGGAGCAAAAGTTGACCACCCCCCTGGATAGCAAAATTTACTATTTTCAAATTTTTTTATATTTTCCATAATTTAAGAACTCACTAGCAATCCATATATAAAAAATTACATTTCATGAACAGAATTGTGGAATTGAGAACAATTTCAAAATTGTCTTACTTTTTTGATACACCTGTAGAGCAAAAATAAAGTAGAGGGATTTTTAACTAGAACAAAAACTCGAGAAAATCGTTGCCGACAGTGCATGCTCCGGTTAAACGGCGTATTTGCCAATATCATTTTAGAGGTTTGAATCTTAGTTGCAGTTTTTTAAATACTGTTCATTCTTATACAAAATTACAGACAGCAACTACCTCTGGGATTCCTGATGTTGAAAACAAAACAATAGCAATGCCGGCAAGGTTCGATTCTGATAATCGTCCGAACTAAACAAATCTGAATAACCTTCGCAGCAAGATCGAATAGATTTCCTTCCCCAGTTTCACAACACTTGGTGATGGCCAACATTGCCTCTTCTGCCTAGGAAACGACAGCGATATATAGAACTTATATTTAATTGTACGCATACTACTCCGGCCCCGTAAGGCTGGTTCTCACTTCGTGTTTACATGAGATAATTCATCTGTCTGGCTAGGGTGATTCGGTTCCATAATCGCGGCATTAAATGGCTACGCTTCAACTAACTTATTTTCTTACGTAGACCAAAATCATTTTTCGCCGTGCAAATTTTCCAGCGATAATGAACAGGCAATCGAACATTATTCTGGAGAGAAACATTGTTCTTTCCATCCGGACTAACCTTGGTAGGATTCACATGCAGTGTTAATAAAAGACCACGTTGACGCTATACGCTGGAGCAGTTTGAAAACAGCGTGGAAAATTCACAATAAGCCGTCGCCCTCACACTTCGACGGAGCAAAATAGTTTGAAAACGTCAATTTTGCCATAACAATTCGAGCACGGTTTCTAAACGGAGCGAGATGAACACGGAGCGCTTGGGGGGCCTCATATGAACCAACGACGCAGGGGCGCCGGAAGGACTGAAAAGCGGCGGGGGCAGAATCTTGAAAAGGGCAGTCGATCGCCGAAGATACGAGACCTCGTAGGGTATCCAGGGGCATCCTCCCCCGGGAAATGTTATATCTAGAGTCTCTGTAATGCCATTTCATGCGTTTTGGGCAGAGATTTGACATGATTTTGAGAATTAATAAACGTCACGTAAAATACAAAAAAAAAACAGTGAAAGTTTTAAGAATATGCATGGGTGGGATATTTTGGTTGCTGAAGAAGTCTCACAGTTTGTAGCCAAATATTTATATACATTGTACACTAGGTCAGATCTTTAATTGAATTATGAATAAATTGAGTAGATTATAACATGTAGGTTACGAACATTGTGCAAGGCGAAACAGAAAGAGCGCGAAATATTGTTACAATAGCAAACGCAAATACATGCACAGTTCATTCTAATATTATACTCGCACAATAATGTAGAGTAAACTAAACTGATATACAATAAGATCAAGGAATAATAAACCAATAATATCCGATTGTAACACTGTACTATAAAGAAATCGATAACTCTAATATGTAATCCTTGCTTCTTTTACACTTTGCTTGCGAAAAAAACCTGAGTCAACTAACTATCACGGTTCAGGGCTTCTTAATTATTTACAGTAGAGGCAAAGAAGTTAAACAAACTAAAAACTGAACTTAATGAGGTTGCGTATCTTGGATGGAAAATCACAAGAAGCTGGATACATGCAGGCTTGGCCAGTACCCGTCCACCCGTCGTTTGGACGGGTACTTTTGAACCTGGCAGTTGATGTTAAAACTCTAGTATTTTGTCCGTAGTAATTAGTGCAACTGACCGTATAAGCTTACATTTTGCTGCGACATCAAATTAAACAGTCACTGGCCATTCCTGCACATACATATACATCCACAAACAAACAAGCTACAATTTACTTTGTATTTGAAATATATACAAGTATTTTAGGCTGATTTTAAGAATAACTTCGGCGGTATGTTAGTGAGGTAACCAACCCGTTTGCTCTTCAGTTTTGAGTGTAGTTTTTCACGTGTTCTTTTGACTGCTAAAAAATACTTTTTTAGAAGATAAAGATTAAAGATCTGATTTCAAAATTTATCCAAGTGAAACATGCATGTATTTTTTTTTGGGGGGGGGGGGCAGACGGCAGACCTGAACAAGCATTTGTGGGCGGATAAATTGCTAGTCTCGGCTATGTCTCTAGCTGGAATGCTCTAAAAACCATCAAGAGCAGAGGAAGACTTATCGCGAATGCGCTATTGTAGTGCCTGAGCATGACTGCGCTAATTGACTACAGAAATTTAGGTGTGTCGAGGAACTAGAAAAATGTAGGAGGCTTATATAACTAACAAGACGATCAACGCAGCCTGCATGCGTAATGCGTAAATGAACCATGAAAATAAACGTGGTCACAATATAAACTTATATACATATGACGGCAAGTTATCAATAATAACTTATAAAGTCTTATTAGTTCATGCCTTAATCCTTTTGTTGTCACAAAAAGGGGCAACCACTTGCCCTCCCATGCCCCCGCACTATTAGAGAAGCGGGGGCCACTGTCCCCGCTGCTCCCGTGGCTCTGGCGCCCCTGATTATATTGTCACTTGTTATTATGTTGTTTGGAAGGATAGAAAAATTCGAACCAATTAGAAAACAATAAGCCGGAATATCATGTTGCTGTGTCTGTATAGACATGATTTCGTTTGATCAAATTCCAGTTTAACAAAGC